CCTTGCATGCCTGAGGCCCTGGGTTCGATTCCTCAGCACCACATAAGCAAAATGAAAAAAAAAAAAAAAAAAAGTCTGGTAATGTGGTTAGTGGTAGAGCACTTGCCTAGCAGCCTAGCATGCATGAAGCCCTGGGTTCCATTCCTCAGTATCACATAAACAGAAAAAGTTGGAAGTGTTGCTGTGGCTCAAGTTGTAGAGCACTAGCCTTGAGGACAGCCCAGGCCCTGAGTACAAGCCCCAAGACCGGCAATAAATAAATAAATAAATATAAAGGCTGGGTATCGGCCTATAATCATAGCTACTTGGGAGGCTGAGATCTAAGGATTGGGGTTCAAAGCCAGATCTGGCAGACAAATGCAAGAGATTTATTTCCAAGTAACTACCAAAACACTAGCTCAAGTGGAAAAATACCAGCCTTTATCTAAGAAGGTAAGTGAGAGCACAAAGTTGAGTTCAAGCTCCAGTACTGCTTTTTGTTAAAAAAAAAAAAAGGCAAATAAATATGCACAAAAAGGCATGTATGGGGCTGGGAAGGTGGCTCAGTGGTAGAGCGCTTGCCTTGCATGCCTGAGGCTCTGGGTTCGATTCCTCAGCACCACATAAGCTAAAAGAAAAAAGCCGGAGGTGGCGCTGTGGCTCAAGTGGTAGAGTGCTAGCCTTGAGCTGAAGAGCTGAGGGACAGCGCCCAGGCCCAGAGTCAAAGCCTCACGACCGGACCCAAAAAAAAAAAAAAAAGGCATGTATAGGAATAAACATGTTATATGTAACTGTTCAAAACTGAAAAATAACAAGTGTTCTTTAGTAGGTAATGGATAAGTAAATTATAGATCCATACTATATAAACTCTAACAGCCAAAGAACTGATATGGAGCTAAGGATGAAGTTGAAAACAGGGGAGGTGATTCAAAATCTCAAATAATTACTTAGTAATATCCCTATTATGTCCCAGACTCATCCCAGGGCAGCCAGGTAGCTTTCCTTAGTTACCCACATAGAAAAGAAATCTGTTTTCTGAAGAAATTCAACCTGAGATCTTAGGCTAGGAACAAAACCAGGCCAGGAGAAATTCAAATGGAAAAAGAGGTATTAACTGATAGTCTAAAAACCAAACAGTAATATTGACAATGCCCTTCCAGTTTCTGACCTCATGCAGCTTCCCATAACGTATATAACTGGACTTATCTACCACTCCATCAACCACCCCACAATGAGACTGTCCTCTGGAAGAACTCAAATGTCTGTAAGATGATGGGCTACAGAAACCTGAGTTCCCAGCAGGCAGCAAAATACATTCTGGCATACAAAGCTTCCGGTCCTCTTTTT